TAGCATCACTATAATAAGTGTTAGCAAATCCAGTTGCTTTACCTCGGTAATAACTACAACACTTCTTTAAACAATTACGCTCTTTATGAAAAATTAGGTCAAACCAGCCGCTTTCCCCGCTGAGCTATAGCTTACAAGTTTCCTGCCTCTGTGGCTACTAGCCAAGTAAAAAACATTGCGGTAGAGGTAAGCCGTAGTGGTCGAATAACCTACGTTGCCGAAATAGAACCAGTAATTTGCCAAGGTAGCCAAATTAGTAATGTAACACTCCATAACTACGCTTTCATTCGCAATTTAAAATTAAATATTGGTGATAAAATAGCCATAAAAAAAGCCGGTGGTGTAATTCCCCAAATAACCCAAGTAATTAAGTTAAATAATAATAATAGTTGAGTACCCCCCCTCACTTGTCCTTCTTGTGCTAAGAAATTACAGTGAAATCCAACTAATATTTATCAAATATGCAAAAATAGCAATTGTTCGCGTCAAACTATTAATTTACTTACTCATTTTGCTTCCAAAAGTGGTGTTGATATCAAAGGGCTTAGTCAGAAAAATATTGCCAAACTTTATGACAATAACTTACTAAAAACCCCCCGTGATTTTTATTATTTAAGCCAAAAAAAGTCCGAATTATTAAAATTGGCAGGTTGGAAAGAAAAAACAGTTAATAATATTCTTAGTTCTCTCGAAAAATCTAAAAAGAAACCCTGAGCCAATTTATTGACCGCCCTCGGCATTCCTTTGCTTAGTTCCGTAAAAGCTCAGAAATTAACTAACTTTTACTCAGATTTAGCTAGTTTTTTGGCTGCCATAAAAAATAAAGAATGAGACAAAATTAAAGAGATTTTAGGGGAAGAAACCCAAAAAGAACTAAAAAATTTTTTTCAAAAGACTACTACTAGAAAAATGGTCAAGGGATTGGAAAAGATTTGAAAAGGATAGCAAACTTATTACTTGGTGCGCCCGGGAGGATTTGAACCCCCGACCTTTTGATCCGAAGTCAAACATTCTATCCACTGAACTACGGGCACATTTTGGTTAACTTAATTTTAAATGAGAAAAGTTCGCAACAAATTATATTAATGATAGATTTGAGAGAAAGATAGTTACTACTTTTTCATGATTAATGCCCGCTTTCTGTAATTTTCTATAACTATAATTATTTTAACCTATTATCTCAATATGTGTCATCCAGTTAGTCTGATGACCATCTTTCAATTCTATAATTTTAGTAAGCATAAACTGAGACCAAGTTTTTGCCTGAATTAGCCAAGACCAAGGCCTAGAAAATTATTTGAGCAAAAAAAGGGAGCATGATTCTCAACTTTATAGTTCAATGGAAGAAAAAAAGTAAAGAAATAATTAGGGAATGGATGAAAGAAGTAGACCAAGCAGAGAGAGAGAGAGAGAGAGAGAGAGAGCAAATTAGCCCTCGTCCAGCAAAAATTAGCAGAATGAACCGAACTGATTAAGCAATTATGTCAAAAAAACCAAAGCAACAATTAATAATTCTGATTCTACTGGCGGGAGCAGGTTATTATTTTTTTATCTACTTAGCCAAGAAGAGAGAAGAGGCCAAACAAGAAATAGAGGACGTATTTCGACTCAACCCTGCTATCTCTACTTCTGACTTAGATTCTAATCTCTGAAAAGCAAGTAATAATTGAGAGGAATATTTAGATAGTTTATATTTTGGTTCGCAGATTAATCAATTCACTAGGCAAATGAAGGAGGCTATTAAAAAAAAGCAAAGGGAGATAAACGAAGAGAAAACTAAAAAAAGAGAAGCCTGAGAGGAGGCAATTAACAAAATAGAAAAGTATTGTGAAGAAACTTTTGGAGGTATTGATGAAGAATTGCCTTCTATTCAAAAAGAAATGGAAAAATTTACTAAAAAAATTAACAGAACACCAGTAGATAATTTATCCTCCGTTATTGAAGAAGCCCAAAAGTTCATTGATAACGAAAGAAACAAAATAAAAAGACTATACTGACTAATGACCGACTATAATTGAGCCGACAGATGACTAAAAAGAAATAGGGAAAGTTTTAATGCGGCTTGGAAACAAATGAAGGTTAATTATGGTGGGGAAGAACCTCCCTATTTCAGTGCTAGGGCTATTTATAAAATCAACTTTCCTCCTTCTCTTTGGAATGAACTAACAGAAAAACAACAAGAATCAGCCAAAAAAGACGGACATGGTGAACTTACTCTCAGAGATGAGGTAAAAGATTATAAGTTTAATGACTTAATTACCGAGTGAGAAGAAAAAGTTAAACAAAACCCAGTGCGCGGGGAACAAAATCCTAATAATCCTGCCGAACTAGATAATAATTCCCTTTTTTATGGAGCACCCCGCACCGGTAAATCAATTATGGCTGAAAAACTTGCTTATGAAGCCGATATATATCCATTAGTAGTTATTCAAGGTTCAACCTTAACTCCTAACAAGTCTGATACCAATGCTAATGTCACGCTTTTGTTAAAATTTATCTTTACTGTTAGTGCTATTACTCACGATTTAGTGAATAATTTTGGTTATGAAAGAGATAAAGAAGATGGGGAAGCTAGGTATATTCTGTTTATTGATGAAGCCGACCAAATCTGTATGAATAATTTTGACCCTCCCCGAATTGCTTCTTCTCAATTAACTTTTTTAAAGGAGTGTATGGGAAGTGATAATAAAGTTGAAGAAAGTAAAAACTTATGAATTGCGGCTACTAACCACTTAGATAATGTTAATTCTGCCGTTTACCAATCCGGAAGGTTAAGTAATCCATTATGTTTTAGCTGAACCTTGGGAACTTTTATGAAATATGCGGAGGATGAGGGAATTACTAGTGATTTTCCCCAGCGGTGATTAGACAATAACACTTTGAATGATGAAGACAATAAATGAGTGAACAGGTTTAATAAAATGTATTTCGATAATGATTTCTTACCTTTTTGAAGCAAATTTATTAGCACTAATCCTAACGCTGAATATGAACCAGAAAAGGACGAAGAAAATGACGAGCAAGAGGAAACTAATGATGACAAGGAAAAAAAAGACAAAAAAAGAAAATTAGAATTAAAAGGTAAAACCATAGACCAAGCCAGAGAAGATAACAAAAAAGCCCAAGCCGAAGCCGATGATTGAAAGAAAAAATATGATGAACTTGATGATAAAATCAAAAAAAGGGATGAAGAAATAAGAAAAACTACTGATAGTTAAAAGACCCTAACCTCTCTAAAAAAGAGAGGGAAGAATTAGAAGAAAAGTTAGCACTCTTAATAGCAAATCAAGACGAAGATAAAAGGGAAAAAGATAAAATTGGCACTAAACTGAAACAATTAGCCGAAAGAATTAAGAATAATAACGCAGTTATCTCTAATACAGCCTCTAATTTAGAAGACAGACACTGAATTTGAGATTTATTTACCTTGGAGAATATACTAATCGGAGTGGGTATGTATATGACTTATAAATTATTGAAAGATGATAAGAAATAGATTAAAATTTCTTACTTTTTTTTGCGAAAGATAACCATTAAAAAGATTATTCCTAAAAATAAACCAATGCCGCCAATTATTCAGGGAGTATAGTTGGGAGGATTGGAATTAGAATTGTTTTTGTTGTTGCCAGAATTATTAACGGGCACAGGAGAATTATTTTTTTCTTTTTCTTCCAATTCTTTTAACCTTTTCTTTTTAGAATCTAAATAATTTTGATATTCAGGATTATTAGGTTGCGGATTGGCTTCTAAATTCTCGATTTCTGAGCGTAGTTGTTGAATGTTAGCACGAATTTGCTCTCTCTCTCTCTCTCTTGGTTAAGATTATTATCTTTATCTGTATTTGAATTATCTAAATCCTCTTTATTTTCCCCTGCCGCTTCCACCATTCCATTCACTAAATCATCCATAGCTTTGTCTAGCCTCTGGCTACTTTCTTCTCATTTTTTATCATCTTTCTTTTGCTCGGCTTCGGTTTTTAGTTGTTCTTGGTGACATTTAGTACATAAAGTTCCGGTTTTATTTTTAGCATCACTATAATAAGTGTTAGCAAATCCAGTTGCTTTACCTCGGTAATAACTACAACACTTCTTTAAACAATTATCGCAGTTATCAGCATAGTGTCGATAAAAGCAATCATCCGAGCAAAATTTCTGATTATCTTTTTTGCTTTTGCTGTATTTGTATTTACCATCTCATTTTTCTTCTAGACATTCCGCACAGCAAAAGTAATTTTTCTTATGTCATTTTTCAAAGTGTTCTTCACTACAAAATAATCATTCTTCACCGTATTTAGCATTTCTTTTTCTCGGTTTTAAAATTTTATTCTTCTGACTGTAAATATAGTGGTTAGTAGGAGGATTAGCGGAACAGTAAGTGCAACAGGAAATTTTTGATTGGTATTCTTGTTGCCATTTTTTATTTTTTTCCTTTTCTCTTTTTTGGTTGACTTTTTTGGCTACTTCACAACTTAAATCTCATAATTCTTTAACTAACTTTTCATATTTGACTAAATCAGGGTCAGAATAACGGCTGATTGAATCAGGTTTTCATGTAATAAGATTATCTAGTTTTGCACAATATTTACGGTGAGCAAAACTAGTTTCATTAGATTGCTTTTCTATATCACTAATAGCCTTTAATTTTGGTAATTCTTCTGTAATTTCTTTGGTATAATCGCTAAGGTAATAGCGAAATGCTTGTTCCTCCATGATGAGTTTTGAATAGTTGCTACCTGTTACCAGCCGCTCGTAGAATATTATTTCTGCTCCTCTTATATTTGTAACAAAAAAAAGAACCTAATACTAATCATCCCAGAGTACTTATTCCTAAGGGAATACCTAAGCCCATAGTTAGAGCGGGATTATTTAGGTAGACAGTTTCGGTTGAAACTGCAGAGGTAGCTTTTGTTTCTGGATTTGAAGAAGTAGTATCAGATTTGATAAGTTTAGTATCCAAACAATCAAAGGAGTTAAGCTTAGCAAAAGAAGGAAAGGAAAAATTAGTAAGGGAGGTGTTATTCGAACAATTTAATTCTACTAAGTCTCTTGCTCCTCTTAAGTCCAAGTTAGTAAGGGCATTACTGCGAACATCTAAGTGAGTAAGACTAGGAACTTCAGAATTAACAAATCCTCTTAAATTATTAAAAGATAAATTAAGTTTCTTTATCCTAGGAACCCATCTCATATCAATAACAAAAACAGGGAAATTGATTTTGTTATGAGAAAAATCTGCCTGTTCGATATAAGAAAAATCCATCAAATAAGAATCTAATTTATTAAACGAACAATTTATTTTTTTTAAGTTATGAAGCCCATCTAAATCTAATCTCCCTTCTAAATTTTGATTACTAACATCTAACTCAGTTATTTGGTTTCGGGCTTTACCATAATTTTCTTTATCATCTTGTCTTTGACATGTTCCGTCTTTGGGATAATTTTGTTCTAATCATTGCACTGCATCTACCATAATACAATATTTTAGTATTCTAACAGGATAGCAAGCAAATATAAGTAAAACTATAATATAGACTAAAAAGGAAAAAAGTTAGTTCTGAGGTGAACGAAGTCTTAATAGTTTTGTAATAAAACTGTTAGAAGATGCTAAACCCTGAAATTAACGGGGTTGGAAGCAAAAAACTTTTGTGTATTTTTATATTTCAAGTGTATGACAAAAAAAGATAAGCAATTAAAAATAGTTATTTATGGTTATGATGCGACTACTACGGAAGAGGCTACTCGTTTAGTTAGCGAACAAGTTTCCCGACTTAAATTAGATTTCAGTGGTCCTGTTCCTTTACCCACTAAACGAAAATTTATTACCGTGCCAATTTCTCCCCACAAGCATAAAGATTCCCAAGAGCAATTTAACCAGCAAATACACCGGCGGGCAATTCACATTTTCAACATTTCACCCAATGAATTAAAAGTATTGGCCAATTTAAAGGTTCCACATACTGCTCGCATAGACTTAAAGGCTTCTTTTTAATTTCGCTCAATAAGCGTGAAATAATTTAACTGGAATATAATAAGTTTTAGAACCAAGGCGAAACTTTTGGCGATTAGTAGCAAATTTCCGGCGGGTAGCCCGCATGGAAAAAGAGCGATTATTGCCAGCCAACGGCTTGCTTTTTTTACTTAATATTTTTTTTATTTCTACTTCTTTCATAATATGCATATTTTTCTCCCAATTAATTACTGATACTTGCTTTCCCTAATTATATTATTTTTTATCCTCGGGCTTTACTGACGGAGGATACAGGAAGAGAAAATACGATTAAAAAAATTGGTTCGCGACCAAAAAAACCAAGAAAAAAAAGTTAAAGACCACGAGGAAAGTTTAAAACTAGCTAATCAAAAACTAACCGCTAGTATCGAAAAACTTAAACTGGCGGAAGAGAAGTTACACCAAGAGGAAAAAAGGGTGGAAAACTTTGCTAGTCAATTATTTCGCAAAGAAGAATTGTTTACCCAACAACTCCTTGCTACTTCGCAACGAGAAAAAGAAATCCAAACCGAGGCAGAAAAAGTTAAAAAAATAAAAGGTCAAGTGTGCGATGAATTAGAAAAATTAATTCCCATGAGTAGCGAAGAAGCCAAAAAAAAATTGTTTTCCTTATTAAGAGAAGAAATAAATCTAGGATTAGAAAGATACAAAGAAGAAAAAATTAAGCAGATAGAGGGAAAAGTCAAAGAAGAGAGCACCAAAATTATTTGTCTGGCCTTAGAAAAATATAGTTCCGAATTAGTTTTCTCCCGCACCACCGATACTTTATCCGTGGAAAATCGCCAAATAATTAGCAAGATAATCGGGAAAGAAGGCCGTAATATTAACGCTTTTCGGCGGGTTACTGGTACAGAATTGCTTATTGACCGCGAAACTGATGATTTAACCGTCCAAATCTCTTCTTTCAACTCTTTACGGCGAGCAATAGCCTGCCAAACTTTACTGACTTTAATTAGTGAAGAAAGGTTTTCTCCCGCCCACATCGAAAAAACTTACCAAAAAGTAAAATTAGAAGTTAACGAACTTATTAGCAAAACTGGTAAAGAAGTAGTAAGAGAATTAGAGCTAACTGGACTTCATCCGGAATTGGTTAAGCATTTAGGCAAACTAAAATACCGCACCAGTTATGGTCAAAATGTGTTAGAGCATTGTTTAGAAGTAGCCAAATTAGCTGTGAGTATTGCCGCAGAATTAGATTTGGAAGTTTTGTTAGCACGCCGGGCTGGTTTGCTCCATGACATTGGCAAAGCTATTGAGGACAACAGCGGTTATTCACATGTGGCAAGTGGTATTAGTTTAGCTAAAAAATATAAGGAATCCGACATAGTTATTAACGCCATTGCTGCTCACCACCGGGATTTTCCGGCTAATAATCTTTATTCTTTAATTGTTGTCGCTGCAGACAAATTATCCGCTGCTCGACCCGGAACCCGGGGCTACCAATTAGAAGCCTATGTTGAGCGAATGAGTAATTTAGAAAATATTGCTAATGAGTTCGCCGGTATCAAAAAAAGTTATGCTTTTCAAGCGGGACGAGAAATTTGGGTCATCGCTGATGCGGAAAAACTGAATGATTATCAAACTTGGGAAATCTCCCGCCAAATTAAAGAGAAAATCAAAAAAAATATTATTATTCTGGGGGAAGTAACTATTTGTGTAATACGAGAAAAGCGATTTTTTCAAAAATTAAATAAAACCCCTAAAAAAGAAGGCAAAAATAAGCAAAATTAAAAAGTATTGCCGCTAATTAAAAAATCCAAAGAGCAAAATAATTTATTTATATTTATGGAAAAAGAGGATAAATATAGCAAATTATTAAGAGAAGCCGACCTGTTTTTTTACGGGACAACCAAAGGTAGTTTTATTTTGCCACCTCGTGGTTATGCTTTGTGGCAAAATATACAAAAGGTGCTAGATAAAAAATTCGCCCCAAGAGGTGTTAAAAATGTCCTTTTGCCAACTCTTATTCCGCTAGATTTATTGGAAAAAGAAAAAAAACATATTGCTGGATTTAGTCCCGAGTGCTTTTATGTGGAAAAAGTAGGTGAAAAAAAACTAGAAAATCCCTTAGTTTTGCGACCCACCAGCGAAGTGTTATTTTATGATTGGTATCGGCAAATCCTTCAAAGTTATCAGCAATTACCTTTGCTTTATAATCAGTGGTGTTCGGTGTTCCGGGGCGAAAAAAACACTAACCCTTTTTTTCGCAATACTGAGTTTTTATGACAAGAAGGCCATACCCTTCACTCTCACGGAGGGGAAGCGCGGCAATTTGCTTTAAATATTTTGGCTGATTATCAAGACTATGCTGAAAATACGCTTTGTTTAGGAGTAATAGTGGGGCAAAAAACCGAAGGTGAAAAGTTTGCTGGTGCCTTAGAAACTTACACGGTGGAATGCCTACTGCCTGACGGGCAATGTTTACAATTAGCCACTAGTCACTATTTTGGTGATAATTTTTGCCGCTTAATGAAAATAAAATTTCAAAGCCAGGATAATCAAGCCCAACACCCTTTTTCGACTTCTTGGGGCACTTCTACGCGGGTCATTGGTGCTCTGGCTAAGACGCATGCGGACAATTGAGGATTGATTTTACCTTTTGATATTGCCCCTGTCCAAATTGCTTTTATTCTTATCGAACCAAGCCAAGAAATAATTAATTACTATCAAGAAATAATTAGTGCATTGGGTAATGCTTACCGGTGCCAATTATATGACAAGAATAAACAAGTTAATTTAAATATTCTTCAAGCCGATAAAGAAGGTTGCCCGCTGAAAATAATTTTAGGAAAGGAAGAATTAGAAAAAAAGGCAATTGCTTTGGTCAGAAGAGATAATGTTGAAAGGAAAATTACGATTAATATAGAAAGCAGTGAAGTTGAAAAAAAATTTCTGATTGTCTTTGAAAAGTATATGGAGGAATTGAGTGAACTTTATAGTGAAAAAGTTCAAAAAGAGTTAGAAAAAAAAAAAGAAACTCCTACCGACTCAATTAAAAAAGGAGAAAAAGCCGGGAAAATTTTCAAAATTGTTACCAAAGAAATAGCCGAATTGAAGAAAAATCTTTACCAAAAAAGTGCTGATTTTCGTGATAAACATATTTTCTCAGTAAACAATTTTGCTGAATTAGAAAAAAAAATCGCAACGGGGGTAAAAGGTTTATTTTTAATTCCTTTTTGTAATAAGTTAGAGTGTGAAAAAAAAATAAAGGAAAAAGCACCTAGTTATAGTATTCGGTGTATTGTGCCAAAAGATAAAGAAATTTTGCTACTAAAATGTCTTTTTTGTGAATTAAATGCCTGTGAAATAGTTTATTTAGGAAGGTCTTATTAAAGTTTAACTTGCTCTAAAACTTGCTGAACGAGGAGCATACTTGCTAATTTCAAAATCAAAATATTTATTTTCCTATTATTGTATTAAGCTAGTAAGCAGACAATCATTTTTTCTAACTCCTCTATTTGAAAAACTTTTCCATTCAAATAAGAAAGGGGTGCTGGCAGATTAGCAAATAATATTTTATAAGCAAACAAATAAATCTTATCTTTTATTGTAATTTTACTACCATACTTTTTATCACCAGCAATCGGGTAGCCCAAATAAGATAAAATACTACGAATTTGGTGTTTCCTCCCTGTATGTAAAGTGATTTCTAATAATAAATAATTATTTTCTCCTTTAATTTTTTGTATTTCCAGGGCACAGTGTTGAGCGTTTTCTTTTTTGCAATTCGGAGAAAACTCCATTTTTTCTTCTGTCTCGTTTTTTCATAAATAACCACTTATATAGCTTGGTATTGGTTTTTTGGGTTTGTTTTCACAAACTGCTAAATATTTTTTAGTTATTTTGGTTTTATCATTAATAACTTGGTGCAATACCTTTTTCGCACGGGGATTTTTGGGATAAATAACTAGTCCTTGGGTCAATTTATCAAGCCGATGAGCAGCATTGAAAATAAACAACGATTTTATTTGTTGTTGATAAGCAAGAGGGTTTTTTTGATATAAATAATATCGTACCACATTATTTAGGCAATCCTTATTTTCGTGGCTATGAACTTCCATATTGTGTTCTTTTACTATCAGTAAAATATTTTCGTCCTCGTAAATAATTTTTAATTCTCTGGTAGTTTTGGTTGGTAAAATAACTAGGGGGCAAAAGATTTTTAGAGAATTATCATTAATGCTAACTTCTTCACCTTTTTTTAAGCGATAATGGTAATAACGAATAATTTGGTCGTCAATTTTTATTTTTTTGGTGCGAAATAATTTATAAATTAAATTCAGAGGAGTAGTTTTGAATTTTTTTTTGAGAAAACTAACCAAAGTTTGGTCGGTTTCCTCGGGGTGAATAATAAAGTTAAGCATTGATTATTAATAAACTAATTTAACTCCTTTTATTAGAAAAAAAATAGCAGTTGGCAGACAGTTATATATAAAACAAGATTAGCCGAAATCCTGGTTTAATATTGAGACTATTTCTAACAATAAGGAGACAAAGAGGAAGAAAAGCTTTCTTAAAATATAACTTGCTTAAAGTGTGCGTAATTACTTTCCGCTTTTTATTTTCTCCTGCCATTTATCCAAGTTCTCCTAAAATCCTCAGAAAGTTTCTTTGCCACGATTGTAAAAAGCAAATCAAAGCGGGAGAGAAATTTTATAGTGAGGTTATACCTGATTCTTTTAGTCCTCAAACTGTTTACTACTGCAAATCTTGTGGAGAACAACGACAAAATAAAAACCGAATAAAACTTTGTAAAGATTGCAAACATGAAATGCATAGCAGTGTTTGCCAATGATGTGCAACTAACTGAAGGTCATTTAGATAAATATGGCGACGATGATGATCGACCGACAAAAAGAGCAGAATCAGAATCCTCAATCTAATGAGTGTTCCAAATGTAGCAAATGAGCCGACTCTCGGGGCAAATGTGATACTCAGAACTGTGAGAACTACTGGAGGAAAAATAGCACTCTTAGCCAACTCCACAAGAGAGGGTGTAAAAAATGTTTCAAAAGTGATGTCTGATTAATTTCTGAAGGAGTTTGTATTGATTGCGGTTTAAAACGAACTCTTTTAGCACTGCAAAAGTTATTAAAAGAAGTAGGTAAACAAGAAGTTCAAAGGTGATGAGAAAACACTAAAAATGAACGAGAAAGAGCCATTCAAGAAATAAAAAGACAAAACCCCGAACTAGCCCAGAGGTTTGAAAAGTCTTGACAAAAAATTAAAAGTGATTTATATCCCGAAAGAAAAGAGCAAGAGAATAAAAAGAATGACATCATAAAGTGAATAGTAATTGGAGGAGTAATAACAGTAGTTTCTGTTGTCATTGGATTAGTTGTTTACTTCTTATTGAAAAAGCCACAAAAGAAAAAGAAATAATGCCAGAACTCACTATCCCCTCCGCCCAAATCCTTTCAGTAGAAAAACTTCCAGATAGAAAGCTCTGTAAATACACTTATTTTAATACCCAAATGGGAATAAAAGGCTCCTTTTGCAGTGATAAAAAAGTAAATCATATTCCTGAAATAGCTGGCGAGTTACGCCTATCAGTAAATGAAAATCAGTCAGAAAAAGCCTTTCAAAACTTTGCTCAGAATATCCAAAAGTTTGAATTACCTGAGTTAATCAAGTTTGAAAAACCCTTAGAAGAGAAAGTTGTAATAACTAAACTCAAAAAGACTATCACTAAACTTGCCCCTTGACAAATAAAGAAACTTCGAGAAAAAGGTTTCTCCTGACCAGAAATAAGAGAATTTTGTAATGTCAGTGAATGAACTATTAGAAGATGGAATAAAGAAGAAGTTAACGAACCTAGAAAAAAAGTTAGTCGCCCATCCAAGATTAAAGGTTATGACCTTTCTTTTTTACATGCTTGTCGCACTGTTTATAAATCACAATCTCAAAAATGAGTAGCCCAAGTTTTTTCAGAGAAAACAGAACAACTAGTTAGTAGGTCTACTATTTCTCGCTTATACAAAAAGTATGGTCTTACTAAAAAAAAGAATAACTTACCACTACTTAGAGCAACAATCTCGCTTGGAAAAGATTAAGCCTTTTGTAGATAAAGTAAGTTAAAGGATTGCCACGAAGGCAAATTATTGCTACTGATGAATGTGCTTTTTATTTAAATGAGGCTCCAAGAAGAGCTTAAAGTTGAAAAGGAGAAAGAGTTATTTCTTGGAAATCTGGAGATATTGTTGAGCGTTACACCTTAATACTTTGTATTAGAAATATAGACAAACAAGCAGTGATCGGCTACAAACTGATTAAGCACGATAACAAGGCCAAGAAGAAAACGAAAGAGGAAAAGAAAAATAAGAAAGAAACTAAAAAAAGGAACTGGATCAGTAGAATTTTATGACTTTGTCATAGATGTTAAGTCGAAACTACCTACTAACGAAGAATATTATTTTTTATTGGATAATGCTAGTATCCATAGGGCAATTAAGTCTTGCATAAAAGCAGGTCGACTTCCCATTAGAGAATTATTTACTCAAATGAACATTAATCCTCTTTATTTAGTGGCTTATTTAGTTTTATATGGCAATTAGGAACTTAACTCTTGTATTTTCTTTGCTTCCGCTGCTAGCAATTTATCTTGATAATCTTTAACTAATTGCTCCTCTTGCCTTTCATAATTCCTTTTTTGGTCTTGGGAAAGTTTTGGTTCTTTTTTTAAGCGATAATGGTAATAACGAATAATTTGGTCGTCAATTTTTATTTTTTTGGTGCGAAATAATTTATAA